CCAGGCCAGGAGAGATGCCAGACCTGTACCTCTGCTTTGGGATAGGCACTGATTTTTTAAAATGTCAAACTCGGAACACTTTGGGCTAAGGGTGTCCCTCTCTTAACTCTTGAGGCAGTAGCTCAGGCCCCAGGAAAGAACGAGACCCTCACTCATTTTACTTTCCTAAGAGGTCTGAGGCTGGAAGAGGTGTGGGCCTTCTGTGTGGAGTAACCGGCCTCTCTGTGTGGCCGGCCAACCTGTACCAACAGGACGTGGTGATTGCCTACTTCTCCTCTGTGATGGATGGATACCCAGCTGCGTTTATGAGGCCGTTTCCAAGGATAGGTTAGCATGTGAGTCCACAGACTGAGTAAAGATCACAAATTCACTTTCTCTGATTGAGCGGAGATATTCATCTTCTGTTGCCCTTGGACACTGGAGCTCCTGGTCTTTGGGCTTTCTGACACAGACCAGGTCTTACACCATTGCCTCCTCCAACCCCATACTCAGGGCATTGGACTTGGACTGAATTATACCACTGATTTTCTGGTTCTCTGTCTTGTGGATGGCAACTCATGGAAATTCTTGGCCTAAGGGAATGAGTGTATTCTCTCCAGAGAACTTTGACTAATACACTCTTTGTGTGTCTCATAAAGGATCTCATCAAAGAAGCTAAACTTGGGACATGCAAAACCAACTCTCAGCTCCTGGAGCTAAGTGGACTCTATTTAATGAGAAGTGTAATCAAATACACAATTGGACTTCAAGACCTCTAGTAAAATGCACATAGATGCTCTTTTTTCTCTTTAACTACATCTCGATTAATGTCTAGGGCAGAGGTTCTCAAACCTTTTGAATTAGGACAACTCTGTACTCTTAAAAGTTATTGATCGTAGAAATGGACACTTGAAACCAATACAATCTGATTAACCAATGTCACCCAAATAAATTTAATTTAAAAATTTTCCAAAATAGCAATAAAATTTTGTCTAGGAAAAAAGTTATTGAGGGCCCCAAAGAACTTTCGTTTACATGAGTTATGTCTTGATATGTTCTATATTCCACATTAAAACTGGAATTTTAACATATATATTAATTCATATATAAATGACAATAATAAACACAATAGAGGTTAATGCATCCTTATGAAAACTAACAGTATTTTTGAAGCAAAACATTTCATGAGAAGGATAGCCTTGTTTTATTTACATTTCTGCAAATCTTTATAATGTTAGAATTACTAAGAGATAGGTAGATTCTCATATCTGCTTGTGTGCTCAATTTGTCGTGATATGTTGCTTTGGGTAAAGACTTACATGAAGAAAATCAAGCCACACATAGATACGTAGTTGGAGGAAGGGAGAAGTACTTTAAAGCCTTGCAAATAATTACGGATGCTCTTCTTTGACATCACACCAACACGTGGTGGGTGGGAGTTCTTGAAATTTACCAACAAGCAGAATCTAAAATCTATGAACGTTTAATACTCTTACATTAAACTCCAATAGTCTGCCTTGTACTTTGAATGGATCTTTGGCCACAACACGATTCTGTAACATCATGCGTTGTTCATTTGAAAAAGACTGGTTCCCTGAGTTGAGCAGTTCTTCCAAAATGTGGATGCAGTATGAGAAAGTCACAGTCATTAACACTGCCATGAATCTCATCAGAAAGGCCTTTCAGTCTCAGGAAGCTGTTAAGTTCGTAGTGATGGATACCAGTTATCGAAAACTTTAGTTTTCATTTGTAACTGCAAATATTATCATTACCAAAAAATACCATGGATTGTTTTTCTGCAAGTTGCAGGCTCACTTCATTCCATTGTTGAGAAATACCCAAGTCTGAGGAACCACAATTCATCTGTCAGTCATTCTTGCAAATAAAAATAATATTCTGTGAAGAAAGCAGCTAGATCAAATAATCTCACAAATGATTTTCCTTGAGACACGTGATGGACTTCAGTCCATCTGCAGCAGGAATACTTTATATGTACCTATCATTTTGTTACAAAGAATTTTTGAAAGTCTTGTACTCGAGATTTAATAAAATTAATAATTTTTACTGCTCCATCAAAGACAGCCTGAGATAAACCCTTCTCCCTCTGTGTGTGTGTGTGTGTGTGTGTGTGTGTGTGTGTGTGTGTGAGGGAGAAAGAGAGAGCACCCTGGTGAAAAGGAAAACGACTCTAATACATTTTGGTGCCACTGCCTCGATTAGAGCAAAGCTGTAGCATTTTATTCCCATTGCTTTTGCGTCATCAGTGTCAATGTCAACACAGATAAAAGGACTAATATCATTTTACTGCTAAGATGACAATAGTTTGGACCTCAAGGACCCTCTACAGACCATCCTAGGGGACATGCTCCCACTGTCTACCTACCTTTCGCAGTACTTGGGCCAGGGTGCAATTTATTCCTACGGGAGCAAGTGTTTATGAAACATCTTAGAAAGCGTACTTTTCAGAAAATCTATTTTAATCTCACTTTGAGAGGTGATGAAGATGGGGGTGAAGAGTACTACAATGATTAAGATAAGATGTGCTTTTACAAGCTTGGGCAGTGGGGGGGGGGTGAATCAAAGAGAATATTCCAGTTAGATGACTACAATCAACAATAATCTCAGTTCATGGTTCCTGGGTGCTTGCATCCAAAAGGCAAATGTTCCCAAAAGTATTTACTCACTCCACTTTGAAATCTATTGTAGCAACTGCCAGCTATTTATCTTCCTAATATTTTAAATTGGTAGAACATTAAAATTAGTTTGTGTTCCCTGAACATGCAGCAATGGAGGGTGAGGGGCCAATACCCCTGAAGTGTGCTTTGTAGCCCACTTCAATATCAAGCTGATATTGAAACAGAAACTGTTCTGTCCTTATTTCCATTTTCTATTGTTGTGTACTATTTCAAATGATTTTTTAGAAAAAGGTAGAGGTATGAATACATTCAATTTAATAATGCTTTTGGCTGTTGATAGAACACCTATATAATTAAAAGTTGACAGCGTCTGCCTGCATGCCTTTAAAAGGTCGCAGGAAATGTGCTGTGCTTTGAGGAAAGGCCTAACGTGTGTTTTCAGTTGCAGTGTACTAAGCATTGTACAGAGTCACAGCGGTTCAGGAGCAGGTGGTGGTAGCCTATGCACAGTACTAGTTCTCCATTTCCTAGCCAAAGGTTCCAAGGGTTAGTGGCCAAGTGTGACCATCCTGTTTACTCTGCATTAGGTTTAAAGATCCTACACACTAGGGCAGTGAGTCTACTTGAAATGGGTGGGCTCAGATTTGTCTTTGATCTGCTAATTTCAAGTCCAACACCAGTGACCATAGTCAAAGTCATCACAAGTTGAGTTTGATCTGAGTTGAAACAGTTATAATTTTCAAGTCTTAACAGGGGGAAACCTAACTACCAGTTTACCTAAGCCAATATTTAAGGAAAGATTGGTTTAAGGATAATGCTCCATTTTAGAATTCTTGCATCGGGAGGCATTGCTTGTCATTGGGAAGTCGTCTCTTTCAAGGGAGTTGGCAGGGAAAGTGCCATCCTGAGAGTTCATTATCAATGAAAAACATCTTTTGGGAGATGCAGCTTTTCTAATAAAAGTGTGTCAAAAAGATTTGTCGTGTTTTTATGGGTACATAGGGATCTAACCCCCGTGCTGTCTTTGCCACCACTTGAACTATGAGAATTAAGCCAGAACTCCAAAAGGCACCAGTACCCATCCACGTAAGCCTGTGTCATGTCAACACTTTGTGCCTTTGCCGTGACTCCACCTTCTTTGATGAAAACGTCTATTTTAAAATTGGTGAGAAAATATTTAACATAATAAGGTGATGAGTCAGACTTTTTAAAAAAGCTAAAAAGGGAAGATGTACTTAAATAATGCACCTTTTTATTTTTTTAAGCTACATCTGACTCATGACATATAATGTATTCTGCTTAAGTTCAAAGTTTCCTCGTACAAAGAGAGTTTTATGAAACAACTCTTCTTCGGGCCATTTTTCCTTCGATGATAGCAGCAGGTTTTGGAGTTTAAATAATTAACAACCTCCAAGTGAACTTTTGTCCAAATGACTCCAAGTCACAAAGGGAACAGTCCTCTTTCACCAAGTACCTTTTGTGCTACAGTGAGACCAGTCCTTTTCTGTTTTCCCCCCTTTATGTCTCTCTTTGAAGAAAGAGGTGTGATTTGTAAAGTAATGAATGTATCAGTTAATGAAAACTGCTCTATTGGGCTCATAATGCAAACGGGAATGGCTTCCGTGTAAGCTTCCTCTACCTGAATGAGAACAAGGGGAAAAAGTAAATTTCAGGAGTTGAGATTGCTGTGTGCACTGCAGGAGTACCGTGGAGCAGTTAAATCAGCCATCAGGGGTGACCTAATCTTATTTCCCCCCCTTTGTCAAGAAGCTGTAATTTTCATTGAGGTGGCATTTTTCAGTTTTAACTCCACCGGACACTCCAAAACTGGGCACTGACTCCATCAACCTAATTATTGATGTCACCATATGTTATCTTTTATTTTTTTTAATTATTTTTACTGGAAATGTTTTGGAAAGAATGTGTGGGAGACTGTAACCTCCACATGCTTAAGGTGATGGGGTAAGAGAGTCATTCTTTTAGGGACAACACCCCGAAGGATTTTATACCGAAGAACATGTAGTTTAATAAACAAAAGAAAGTGAAGAGGCAAATCTATTTCCTTTTGAAAAATCAGTGGGAATAATGAAGTAATCGCTGTTTCAAGAGTGGGAAAAACTTTCCCCCCCACCCTCGATTTGGCGAATAGCGGGATAAATTCGAAGAACTCCATCCCACCCCCGCATGCGCGCCCCCCATTCTTTCCACGCGGAGCGGTTGCAAATCCCTGGCTGAGTCCGCCCTGGGAGCCCTAGGGCACCTTCCTCTTTGCTGTGTGTGTGTGTGTGTCTAGCTCTCGCTCTTTCCCTCAGTCTGTGCCTCCGTGTGTGTGTGTGAGTGTGTGTGTGTGTGACAGAGAGAGAGCGCGAGAGGAGAGAGAGCGAGCGAGCGAGAGAGAGAGAGCGAGCGAGAGAACGAGCTGTGAGCTGTGCTGCCGCCGCCGCTGCCCTTTGATCCCGACATTAGTGTTAGGGGCTCGGAGACACAGAGCGCGGCCATAGACACCGCGGCACCGGCGCTCATTTATTTATACCTCCCATCACACACGCGAGCCCAGGACACACACACACTCACACCTATTAGATCCGTTTCCATTGAAGAATATTACGCTCGGGGGACAAGCCAGGTGCACGACCAAAAAATTAAAAAAAAAAAAAAGGAAAAAAAAAGAAAGGAAAGAAAAGAAGAAAACCCCTCTTCTGGCTCCAGGAAACAAGCTTCAACCCATTGTACACACCGGAGAGAAGGGGTTTCCCCCTGCCCGCCCGCCCGCCCCCCAACTACCTCCCCGCTCCTGCCAGTGTCTGCCTCTCTGCCCCCACGGGGGTTTATTTGATCTCACATTAACCAAGGAGGAGAATGTGAGAAAAGGGGGAAAATGCCCAGGAGGAAGCAGGAGCAGCCCAAGCGCCTTCCCTCACGTAAGTCATCCCTTCTCCACCTCTTCTCGTGCCATTTTCTCGCCCTCCCTCTCCTCTTTCCCCTCCGCAGCCTCCTCCGTTGTTTTCTGCATTAGTTTAGGGTTACAGAGGTGAAACCGACAAAGACACAGCCCGGGTTACTCCTCGTTTAGGTCTATGCTGAGGCAGCCATGTTGGTGATGATCAGCCCCGTGCCCTTTCTATTCTCTCTCTCTCTTTTTCTTTCTTTCTCTCAGCCCCCCTCTTTTTTTTCCTTGAGATCGAGCTTTTCCCCCCTTCCCTTCCCCCCTCCCCCTCCTCACTCCGGTTTGCTGGGGGAGGGGGCAAGAGGAGGGAGGAGGGGAATAGTGTGGATGCCGTTTTTTTTTTCTTCCTAAATCGGGGGTTGTGGGGAGGTGGGAGAGGTTGGAATCTTTAAAAAAAAATTTCCTTGTGGATCCCAGTGCCTGAGGGTGCGGGGATCGGGGCGCGCGCGGAGGGCCGGGGGCCGTGACATGGCGTTTGGGGGTGTCGGGGCGAGGGCGCGCGGCCGCCCGCCGAGTACAGGACCCAGGGAGAGGTCCGTCTCCGGCTAAAAGGTTGCGCCGGGGTTGGTCGGCCCTGGAGCCGCCAGCGGCAGCGGCGGCGGCGGCTGGGGCAGGAGCAGGAGGAGGCGGAGGTGGAGGAGGCGGCGGCGGAGGAGGGGAGTCGGGGGCGGGCGAGGCGGGAGCGGCTGGGGAGGGTGTGGGGGCACCGCACACAAACACACGGTACACACGCGCCGCGGGGCGGCTGGTCCCACTGCGCCGGGGCGAGGGGGCGCGCCGGGGCGCGGGGCGGCCGGGCGGGGGGCGAGGCCGGGCAGCGGCGGGCGGATGTGGGGTGCGGGAGCTGCGCCGAGGCGGAGGCAGGAGGCAGGGCGGCTCGCGAGGTCCCTGCAGAGCCGAGGGGAGGGGAGGAGCAGGGCTCCTGGCCGCAATAAAATGCGGGGTCAGTCGGAGCAGACGGAGCCGGGCGAGACTCGGGCGCTCAGACCCCCCTTCCCGGCGAGCTGAGCAGAGTCCAGGACTAAAGTGCATCACAGCCCTCCCCGGCTGCAGCCACACACACCAACTGGAGACTCACACCCGCCGGCACGGCCCGGTCCCCTTCCCCTCCTCCACCCGCACCCCCGGTCCCTCTTCGCCCTCCCTACGGCTTTTCTTTGCGAGACTCTTAACTTTTCCCCCACTCCTTCGCCAGGCGCCCCCCACCCCCCCATCCTTCTCCGCTTTGAGTGTTCTGAGATGCTGCTAAAGCTAAAAGTGAAGGAGAAAGAAGCGACTAAAAATATCCCCCGGGGCCGCCCGGCTCCTTGAATGCAGGGAGGAGGGGGCAGGGGAGCAGGCGTGGGGCGGGGTGACGGGGAGGAGGGGACGCCGGAGGCGCCGGAGGGAGGGGTCGGGGGAGACTGAGGGTCAATTTCTCTTCTCTCCCCCCGGCACTACTCCCCTCTCCCGGCGGTTTGGCGCTACTTGGAGCCCGATCCTGCAAAAACCCGGGCTGGGGGCGGGAGCGGAGCCGGAGCGCCCGCCCGCCCGGGTGTCAGGCCGACGTGGTCGGTCACCTGAAGTTCACGGAGGGTGGGGGAAGGGTTAAGGTTATGGTGTCTCGGGCTCGGGTTGTGTGTGAGCGTGTGCGTTTCCGCTGCAGACAGGCAGCGCGATCGATCTCCCCCTCGCGAAATATCCGTGGCAGTGCCTGCCCAGGGGACGGGCAGGGGGCGCGTGTGGCTCGGGCCGGGTGCCCCCACTGCTCAGTGTCACCCGGGCCGCGGCCGGAGTGGCGAGCAAGGGCACTTGCAGGCAGCCCTCTCCGCAAACATTCCTCCTTCTTCCCCCTTCCCGGTACGCAGGAGTCGACGCACAGAGCTTGGGTTATGCTTTTTTTCCCCTTCCTTTAAAAAAAAAAATGCCCCTGTGCAGTCCTTTCTTCGCCTGCCCGCTAGAGGTTCTGAGGATAATATCACATATGTAATATATATGCACATAAAATCACTCGCAGGCGGCTGCGTGTGTAGGGAAATTTTGTGCGAGGAAAGAGAAGGCGGTGGAGTCGGGGAGGGCGAGTTGGGAGGCTCCGCGCTGCGATTCACAGAAAACTCGCAGCAGTTGGTGGCAGAGTGTGTGCGTGCACAAGGCCGGCCGGCCACGGCTCCCGGCTCTTTTTCGGGGGTGCGTGGGGGGGAGGGAGAGGAGGCAGGACTCCCGGAGGGGTTAGGGGGAGGCTTGCCCTGCTCGGACAAAATGGGCTTCAGTGTTCTCTGTGAACTTGCCCTTAGATGGCAACTTTGGGAGCTGATGAGCTTGTGTGCGAAAAACCAGGGCGGTGAGGTTATTTGGTCATTTTCCTTTCTTCTCGTTTCCCCCTGCTTTAAAAAAAAAAATGTTGGCGGGGTTAGAGGCAGGGTAGGAGAAGAGAAGGGATTTATCTGTTTCGGCGTTGACGGAGATGGACCGCCTTCCCTCCCTTGTGTACAGCGCTGTCGGGCAGCTGCAGCCTGCCCTGCTGGTGACCTTGACCCTGACCTCGTGCGACTACCCTCTGCGTCTGAGAGGAAATTCAGGCTCCATTTTAGCTCATGTGCTTAGTGGACCTCTTCTGCGCGCTGGTGCCTGGTGATTAAGTTATATTTTGAGAGTGGACTCTCCCACCCTGTTCTCTAATTGAATACTGTTATGCACTCACTTAAACACACACACACACACACACACACACACAACTGTCTCTTTTAGTAACAGAAAGCCACTTTTACTGAAGAAGCAATTACCTTTGGAAACACTGTAAATGCTCCTACAGTTTTTAAAGGGAAGCCCAATTTGAGAAGCGTTTTCATTTACCTTTCCATTGAATGGATTTTTTGTGGATGTGTGCTGCCTGTTCAAAGCATGGTTTACGCATGTTTTATAAGCAGTTTCATTGGGACTAAGAGCAATTTCTGGGCAAATGGTGTATTTTGCAATTCGGACTGTAACCCAAGGCTTGCTAAGTGCTGAGTGAGTCTTGAAGAAACTTGCAGTGTGTGGAAATGTAACAAGTACTGACTTTGGTAAATAGCGTTAATTGGTATTTAATGCAGAAAGTAATTGTAGTCTTAAGTCCCAGTTTTAATGCCAAATTCTTTATTGTTTGTTTACCCGTGGAAGAGGGAATTTTCTTTTCCTGGAGAACAGTTCTGTCTCAAAGTTAAAATTTAGTCAGTCTGGGGATTAAAGTTGCCCTGATAGAAGTCATCCCAGGGCTTGATGAATTTATCTGGGGCTGATTTAAAATTTGACCCTAAAAGGAATGATGTGTGTAATTTGGAGGGTGGAGGAGGTTCCAAGGGAGAATGAGGTGGGGAAAACTGCTTTTGAAACCCAAGAGCCCTTCTGAAGAAATACAAAAGTGGTTAAAAGCCACTGTTGATATAAGGTTTTAAGAATCTAGACAACTATAAACACACATTTAAGAAGTTCAAGTTAGAATACAAAAAAGAGAAAAATTTGTGAAAACCGAACCTATAGGAAATTTGGAATGTTTTCCACTTCATCCTGGGTCCCCCACCTTGTCTCTGCACCTCCCATAAACAATTGCTACTAATTGACTCTTTCTATGTGTTGAATCTATTTTCCTAAATCCACACCGGCCAGGTACAGTGGGACTGCACAAAGGCCACTGTCCTCGCACTCTGCAGCACAGACACCAGGGAACCTGGAAGTTCCACCCTCGAGTAGATTAGTCCTGGAAATCCAGACTAGCACTTGGTATTATCTGATACCAAGTCTGGGGTGAGCCTCGGCCCCTGGCACGGAGTCCCAGCAATTCCCCAGGCTGGGCTTCGGCCTGCTAAGGTTTCCTAGCTCCTTCTGTTCAACTAGACACCCATGGGACTGTTCAGAACTGAATTAGCTTTGGGGATGGGTGAGCCTTTAACCTGACACTACTAACCTAAGGGTTAGATTTCTGATTTAAAATTCTACACAGTCATTTCCTCCTGGGCTTCTGAAGAGTGCGTGTGTGTGTGTGTGTGTGTGTGTGTGTGTGTTAATATGTGCCTTTAAACATATTCAGGGGAAAAATGGCCTGTTCTATAGAGTTGAATGGTGATCCTGCTGCCTACAAATCAGAAAGAAGTTCTATACTAGCTTTGTGTGTGTGTGATATGGGCCTCATACATATGCAGAAAAAAAAATGCCCTGCCCTATAGAGTTGAATGGTGATTCCTACTGGCTACAAATCAAAAAGAAGTTCTGTACAAGCTTTTGGAGGTGACCCCAACAGAGGTTGTTAAACCTAAATTATTTTTGAGAAGTGGCTTTAAAAAGCCTTTATTTCTTGGCCTAGAGCAGTCATTGTCATTTTGGGATTTAACCGTGGGTCTGCTGCTCTTGATGGTGCTCTTACCACAAAGTTCTTTCCATTAACAGGGTCCAGCACCACGTCCAGAAAGTATCCTAGTGGGCCTTGGAGCTATACCGTGTGCTTATCTTTAGCAGAATTCCAAGTGACATAACTTAAAAATGTCAGCGTAAGAAAGAGGAAGACAGGGAAACTGATACTGTCCATGCCTGTTGGCCAGGCCTGGGGCTCAGCACTTTACGGACATTGTTACATTGGAAATCACATCACAAACGGAAGAGGGGAAGGGTGAGGAGGGCTTTCCCCTAATCCATGCATCTGTAAATCCTTGTCCCATTGGTGCCATCCATACTTTTTTTTTTTAAGTTTTCCTCATTGGCTTCAACTTAGTAGCACCGGGTATGAGTTTAGATCCTGTTATATTCACCACTGGAAATCTGCCTGGTGCCTGTTCTCCAGGGGGCCTGCAAAGGAAAAGTTAATGAAACCGTTGTTTTGTTACTCTAGTGTTTTTTATTGTTTACTCAGTCGTGGGTCAAGACAGGTTATTGTGCTCTTCATTGACAAAACTTTCAAAATTCTCTCTTGCTTTCTAGTAAAATTGGAGAGCAAAATGCCTGACAAGCAGCATCCCTTATTTT